ACACTACAGCTCGTCAAGGAGACAAACGATGTCGATCCTTTGACCAATTATCTGCAAAACAGTTGTACTAGCTTTCATTCTGTGCTGGGATATTCACCTATTCTATATCCTCGTATCAACCGCTAAATATCACATTTGATTACTTGTTTATCTAAATCTATTCGAAACCTATTCACCTTCGTCACTGGTTTCCATATAGCTCCCATTGTACCGAAGAGTGTTGACCCAAGGCTTCGGTTTAATCCGCAATCCTCTACTTTCGGGTCCTATTAGATCCTTCCCTAATCTGCATATTTCAGTGATTTCACTCTATCGCTGCTACAATATCCGTGCTATTCGAGGCGTCATTTTCTACACTCTACTCCAAGAGTTTGATAGTACGTATATACCAGCCTCACTGAGCAAGCCGCTAAAGTCTGGATTTTCCATTTTCACAAAAATCTATCTTAAAGTTGCAGATTCGCTCAACACTGTGAAGCATGGCGCCAAGTGAATCTCATTGCCAAGCATTTACTTAATGGACCACATCTATGGGCTAACTATCAATAGTCACCATCGTTTCTCTCGCTCTTCTATCCCTAATGCCAATTCTATGACTTTATTATGCCAAAGTCTTTTGGGTGCAAACTCCTAAATGTAACAGTTCAGCTTGGTTTGAATAGGCTCACCATAGACGTCTTCTCTCGGTTTCCGATTGTTCTTCTCTGTTCTCCTTGTAACTTCTTTTGCTAAAGTTAAAAGTACTTCCTTTGTCCAATCATCTTATTTTTGCTGATATTGCAAAGTTTTCACAAATCCTGCCCTCTTTAAGTCTCCTGTTCAATAGGTTTCTTTCAGTCAGGATATCGAGGGCTTCTTGTATCTTGCCTCTTCTTGTATTTCCACCATTTGTAGCCAGCTTTTCTGTCGATTTACACTCGATTTCGTTTCCCGTCCGTGCGATATGTTTCACTATTTCGAAGCTTTTAGTATCCATGTTTCTGCAGAGTCTTTGGTGTGAATAGGCTTCACGTTGTTTCTAATAAACAAGTAAGAACTTTTGATATTGATAGGGTGATGATAGGAAGTATGAAAGATGAATACTTCAGGAGAGAATGAGAGATAACACAACTGGTTAGGAGGCAATTGCTCAACATATAGATTTCACTTGTCTATTTGACGAGTTGTAGTGTGATGCTAAGAATGAGAAGGCTCACTGCTGATGCAGACTATGATGTCAGCGAAATGTCTGGGAATGTAGCAAGTTCATGGTCGGACTATGAAAAATATCATGCATACTATGAACTCCGAACAAAGCGCATTCATCTAGGTCTTCCTGACAATATGACCAAGTTGCAAAAACAAGGTCAAACAACTTCTATACTTGATATTATGTTGATATAAATGCTCATTAATTTGGTTTAATAATATTTATGCTTTGAATCATGCTATTGGCCAAGAAGTCAAAATATTTTAGAAATTGATTACTTAACTATCACTGAAAGGATAAGGAGGATATATATAGAATTATTTTATACTTATCGAAATATAAATAGAATATGGGCAAAGGCATAAGGAGCAATATTTTAATTACAGTTAAATCTTTTCTTCATCTATTTTATTTATGCTTCTGTGTGTTCTTAGGAAAAAATTCTTTATTCTTTATTACACACATCTTCGATTCTATCTCCCTCAGAAATATGCTTTAATTTTTAATATGATACTTTTATTCAATCTACTTATAAGATAATCTATAGAAGTTTACAATAAAAGTTAGACTGCGATAGAAATGAATCTATCATTGATATGAAGAACAATATTGCGCTGCATTAGGTTCGGTCATGGTCTCCTTTAACTGTATATTGTTAGTTTGATCTTGTTTCCGTGACCTACTTCTGCATCCTTTATCTTAGAATTCATGATAATTTCCAGCAACAGGCTGACAAAATTTTAACCGTAATTATGGAAAATTGATTTTCAACTTCTAACTCTACAATGTTTAATCTAGTTCCAAATTATCGTTTAATCTAACTTATTAAGTGTTAATTTTTTCATCAGAATATCTTTAGTTATTCATTCCTATTCATTCTTGATTTATTTGGAGTTTCATAAATAATAGCATTTCTTAATAAATTTGGGGCAAGACTGGGAGAGCAAATATTTAATCCCATATTTTAGACAAATATCATGCTTATGCTTATCTTTCTTTAGGCGTTAACTAGGAGATACATTCTGAAGCTAAATTTCCACTGTCAATTTAAGTCTAAAGTATTTTATTTTCAAGGAGCATATCGTTAAATAGAAGAAGAATCTTATAGTATTGCTTAGTTCAGGCAATTGCAGATAAAAAGCATGATCAGGCATCATGTTATCTACAACAGTCGAACAGTGCAAAAATGTATTTATCCTAATTAAAATTACATTTTAAATATTTCTATTAGCACCTGACGTACTTGCGAACCACAATTTATTCATATTAATAATTAGTTTTATTCGAGATGAGCAGTAAATCATGAGTAGGATTTATGGTCACCCTAGGATGCATAATTGAATGAAGCGCTGATTGTTTAATTTGTCCCAAAATAATCTGAGTAGGAGTCACTATGCCAGTTAGTCTTGCTCCCAAAAAGGAATTATCTTTCTGAGATGACTGCGGTTTCGACCTCGTCTAAGTCTCATCAGCGTCCCCAAGGGGAAGTTGGAATAAGCAGGGCAGTGAATGATTTCATTATGCTGCCGGTATGCCACATTATAACGAGTGTCAGTAGGTCACAAAGCAGAATTTTAATTCCAAAATGGATGTTTTACTAGTCAGCAATCCTACTATAAATATGAAAAGGCTAGCTTACCTAGAAATTGATGTTTTCCTTCTGACTTATTATCACCCTGTCAATTTTAACTCGATTTTATTAGAAATTATATATATACCATCTGTGCTCTTACTAATATGATCCAGGAGAATGAAAACTTGATCCGCTCTGGATGAGAATTTAATAATCCTGTTTTATCCTCATAGATTTATTTTACCTCACTCATATAAAAACTGTCTTCATTTCTTAGTGGCTCTCAAAAAACCTTCCAGATTTAATTAA